ATCTTTGAGCAACTGAATAGATTGCTTTCTATCCTGCTCCTTTTCAGCAGTTCAAAAATAATTTATTTGACAAGTAATACTACACTGCATCAATAAATGGAAAACATACTTCAATTATCTTGCTACTTCTCGCTTTGTTAGATCTAAATTTGTGTAGTTTATTCACTGTTTTCAATTAAAGTGGCAAAAAATCTGAGTAATTCTGCACTTGATCAAGTGTGGTACTACATTGTTTACTTTCCCCTCCTGGCTATCTCCTGATCTGCATCAGTTTGTCAGTAATAAGTAATACCAAAGAAAGGGGAGGGAGAGGAAGTCAAAAGAAGTCACCAACATGTGTTAGGAAGTTTCATAAGCAGAGTTGTAATGCTTCAACTCATGATCTTGAGATACTTGTAAAGATACTCCCATATTTGTAAATGGGTTTTATAGATGCTACTTAGTAAGTAATGCAATCGTTATTTCAGAGTTGATTAGATCAGTCAAAGTTGTGTCTGAACACAGTTGCTGCTCTCACTATTTCATTGTTTTCTACACAGTTTTAGAATTAAGGTTTTCTTTTCCTAATTTTAATGTTGGTATGGTAGGAGATGATGTTTTTTTGGGGGCAGACTTCATATCTACATTTATAATAAAGCTAATACTATAAAGAGTAGATGGTACTTGACTACAAGAGTTATCTGATACATTTAGTTTTGAAATAGAGTTAATTTATCTGTGGTATTATAGAAAGCATTTCAGGAAATGAAAGGCATGCTGTAGTATTTTCTGTTGATGCTTAAAAAAACCCAAACAAAACCTTACTGTTTACTCTCAAAATAACTGCTCAGCTACCTATTTTGATTCAATTTTCCTCCTCCTCATCTTCCAATTTCATAAAAATGGCAGAAGAGCAGGACAGGAAAAACATCATTGTCTTTCTTGCCCTATCATTCAGGGCAGACTCTCATTTCTCCATTTTGAAGGCATTATTTATTGGTAGTTTTCGTAGTCATCTGCATCACAAACTGCCTCATAGTCGAGCTTTCACGTCACACACACGCCTGTAGCCAGGGACACCATTTCAGAAGTCTTGCCAGGCAGTGATCTGAACCCTTTCCATTCTTCTCCAACAGAGGAGCTCGGTCAGCTTGGCCTCCAGGAACTCCTTTTCTGGGCCTCCTGACACCGTGTCCTTCGTGGCCCTGGTGCTGTGGCTGTGAGGGCGCCCCAGGAGCTCAGCACATGGGTGTGGGTGATCTCGCTGTCCCCTGTCCAGGACAATTCCAAACCCAGCCCCTGGCCTGGCTGTGCATCCCTGGCTGCTGCCATCACCGATCTGGAGAGACAGCCAGCAGTCGGTGCCACTGCAGCTCAACCTGGGACCATTTGGCTTTGTCTCTACTGGTCTGTTCCAAAGGGAAGCCAGAGCTGGCGTTCCATCATCCACCTGCTGCTGTAGCAGCTCTGTCAGCTCTTCTTTCAACAAGTTGCCCTCTCCTTGACTTTATAACCTTCATTTTTTTCCTTCTCTTTCGTATCCTCGTGACCCTTGCCCTGCACTCTTCCCTGAAGGGTCTGTCTGCCCCTGCTCTCCCTCACCCCATCCTAAAGCCTCTCTCACAGCACCCCCTGTGCAAATAAGGGCTTAAAACTGTGTCTGCACTGGAGGCTTGAGATCTAATTCCCTGTGTCAGACCCTGTGCACTCTTGACCTCATTTAGCTCAGTTTCTTTGGGGTAAGGGGTGTTAATTCCGTGTGGAGACTGAGTGATCCAGGGTGGGAGTGGGCAGCCACACTCCTCTTCAGCTCTCAAGCTCTTCTGTTTTTACAGGTATCGAAATAACAATTTTAATAACTGGTACTAGATAGTAAACAATTTCATTTTCATTCAGACTCAAATGTCCTCTTCAATGAATTTATGTAGTTTTGGGGTGTGTTGCAGGAATCCATGCCATATCTTTGTTTATGAAGATTATCTCCTTTATGAACCGATTTGCTGCACGTGATAACAGCCTAACATTAGTGGTGCTTCCACTGTCTGTGTTTGTGCAACTGAAAATTACAGGTGGTATAAGCTCTTTTGAAAATCATCGTCATGATCATTTAAAAGCTGCAGTTATCAATGACTCTGAGAATGTTCAATGCTATTTTATGGGTCTTACTAAAAATTGCTTTAGTCTGACAAGACTGTATCAATCTGATGTTTACCTCAGCTTTTATGTTTAACTATAGCAGCTCAGCGGGTGCCAAATTTGGATTGGGGAAAGGGAGAAGGGAGGAGAGCAAGTGATTTGTAAAAGAGACTGATTTTCTTGAACCACTCCATGCTGTGAAGGTTTGAAATGCAATTCAAGGTATTGTGCTGGTCTTTTATGATGTCCTGTGAAATACAACCCAAATTTAGCCTTGCTGTCAGTTGCTGAGAAATTCTGAGCTCTGGGTGATGGATAAAGATGTGCTGATGCCTGGTGTGACAGTATCCTTGGTGTGGCTGATGTCAGTGCTGCTCTTGGTCAGCAGCAATTCCTTCAGCCAGGAGGCTCTCAAGCTTTTGCTGCCTTTTTTGGCACCTGGTAATCCTAAACAGCAGGGAATCATTCACAGAGAAATGCAGCAGCGAGACAGGGAAAACCATCAAGAGCAGGAGCTTTAATGAGGGAGGGTCGTACCATGGATGGACCAGGAGTGCAGGATCCAGTGTCAAAACCTCAAATTCCTAAATCTCTTAATTGTTTTAGTGCACATTAACAAAACCCACTGGAAAAGTATGTCATCCTCTTCTGGTAGCGAGGGGTGATCTGCTGCTGGTACCAGCAAGGCTGTTAATTAGTGCATGTGATTGAGTGTGCTCTGGGGAGTGTTCATGGTTCTGTACTGAATGAGATTTCTGTCTCTGCTATACCTACTTCTTGAAAAATTGGAACATATTTGTTAATTCAGGGAGCGGCAGGAAGAGAAAGCATCAAATGCCTGAGCAAGGTAAACGTTTCCTGACAAACCAGAGCATTCCTACGTGGTGTTGGTCTTTGTGAATTATGTATAATATGTGTAGGAATTTCAGAAGAGATGCTCTGTACTGTACTTGGCTATATATCCTTGCACCAGTTGCGTAGTTATGGCAGGGAGAAGTTTATGCTTTTACGTTTCCAGTGGTTATAATCCAATCCCCTCTCCTTTAATTAGTTTAGTTTGATGAAGAAAGTGTTACACTTGGTGATTCCAGCACTCTGGGTACTCCAGAGCCTTCATTCTGGAGGGAGCCTCACCCAGCTGCTATTTATAATCACATCCTTTTACCCACAATTCACTTCTTAAAGGGGAATTTCTTTTCACTGCAGAAATCTGGTTTTGGCCAGTAGTGGGGGTGGGAAAGGGAAGGAGGAGTGTGATTAGTAAAAGAGCTGTTGTATTAAAGTAAGCATGTGGTGCCTAAAAGCTTTATTTTAATTAAGATGCAGAGTTAGCAGAAAGTTTTTGGTGAGTTTCTTTTGTTTATTTTTAACAGGCAAAGTAAACATTTTTCAGTGAAGTCCATAAACAGATAATAATTCTGGTTGATGACCTTATTTACAAACAGTTATTATTTGTTTATTCTCTACAATGACAACACTCTTTCACTTTTTCCAGGGATGTGACAAAATAAGAAAGCCTTAAAAGCCCTGATAGGAAGATGTCCTTAAGAATTTGACCAGTATAGTTGATTGAGTGGGTTTGGGTAGCATTGTAATATCTCTGTAATGTGTTTTGCTGAATAATTGCATAGTATTGCTTGTAATGTGTTTGTAAATGTGATTTGAGCCACCGTTGTTTAATATCTCTGTTTCATACAAATACATTTATATCTTGTTGCTTGTGCCTTTCTATGTGGATTTAGATGTGGCAGCTTAGGACAGGGAAATATTTGCCATAAAAACTCTAGGATATATATAGGGCAATGCAAAAGCATCACTCTTATTATGTGATAAATGTGATTTATACCTGAAGTCCTGGATAACTCGACAGCACTGAGCTAATTTATAAATTCATACAGTATCTGTTTAGTTATTTAAAAACTATGTAAGCTGGTTTTCCTCTTTAAACTCAGTAAACCCCAGATGGATTTCTCCCGGGACAGAGGAGAGCTAGCTCGTGATGCAGGGAGGGTTATGGCACAGGGCTTTATTATGGAGCCAGGAATCCTTTTTCCCCCCATCTCCTCTTTGCACTGAAACAGTTACAAGTATGTTGATGTACAGGAAAGCTGGAAAGGGGGTGTTCTTGGAGAGGAGGATTTGCTGCTTCTCTCTGATGGTCCATGAGCGGGTATGGTAAAAAGAAATAACCTAGGAAAAGGCTTCTTGCAGGAATGAAGTGAAAAAGAATGTGAAAAATGGAGTTAAATTTCAGTATTAAATACTTGGCTGCAGACAGTGACAGAAATTTCTACCTTGGGTACAATATTTTCAGATTGCGAGAGCAGGCTGAAGGTTGGATTAAAACCTATAATTCTGCAGACTTAAAGAATTGAGGGTCTTTTTGAAACCTTAATTCTTTCTTGATGCTGGTTTGTGTGAAAAGTTGAGAATTGCAGTAAACCTGGAACTGATAGATAATTTGTTAGCTCATGTGTTCTGTATGAGTTGAAGTGAGATCCCAGTTGTGGTGATCATCACTTTTTGAAGTTTCCTTGTTGAAGGACCAAGAGCCTGGAGTAGAATGGGTTGGTTTTGAAGAACATGCCCATGGAAGGTGGCAGGAGACAACGTTTAAGTTGGTTTACAGATGTTGGTAACTTACTGGGTGGGGTGTCAGGCTGTCACCTGCCATTCTGGGAGCACCAGGAATCTCTGTTCTTCTATTTTATAGCAGTTTTCCCGTTCAGTGAATTTTGTAAATGGGTGTGGGTTCTCTTTATCCATAGATTTGAAAAATACTTGGAGCAAACATCCAATATGGAATCTTAACTGAAACAGGAATTACCTTCTGAAGAATTCTCACTATATAACATCTCAGTTAATTGTCTTTTTCGTCTCAACAGGAATGCCCAAGGAAAAGTACGATCCACCTGATCCACGGAGGATGTACACAATTATGTCCTCAGAGGAAGCAGCCAATGGAAAGAAATCACACTGGGCAGAGTTGGAAATAAGTGGTAAGAAACTGAGGGCATATTCCTGAGTTATAAACTCATTACCAGTGCTGTAGGCTGGTACAAGAAGCGTGGAGTGGAGTTCCCCACCTTGAATTGAGCCAGCAGGACACCAGGAGAGCAGCTGCTAGCCTTGGGTGTGGAGGGAATAGCTCGGGTTGGGATAACACAGGGGGGCTGTAGGAGAGCTAAGTTGGGGCAGGTGGAGAATCCCCACATGTAGGAAGGTTGTGAAGGTGAGGGTATGGGTGTGAGCCCTTTGTGTTTTAAGAAGATGGAGTGAGTGAAAGCATGAATTTAAAATCTGGTTTGTCCAAGAGAAGAGGGTGAAGTTGGGGTTGATCTGTAGGTGTGTGTCACTGATGGACTTACTGAAAGCAATGTGTTAGTCCATGACATAGTTTCTATTGAGGCAGAAATTTTCTGTTTAAAGGAATTTGTAGATTTTACTTTGTTCTTGAGATTAAAGACAATCCCCAAAGCCTCCAAGATCTGTGTATGCTGTGAGATACTGTTTGACTCTTGGATCTTTCCTTGAAGAGAAGATAATGCTCGGAATGTGTAAGCATGAATTTCAGCTGATGTGGGACACCAGTGTCACTTGATTTGTAGAGTAAACTCCAATTTTGCTGCAAAAAGTGTGTTTGCAAGGCAATTCAAGCAAATATTTTAAAAATTAAAAATACCTTTTGTGATGTTTGAATCTTGGGCTGAATTTTGTTTAAATATGGAGGTTCTTTAAGAGACTGTAAAAAAAATTGGCATGTGGTATTTCCAGAAGACTGTTCAGGAGAGAAATTTATGGAAGAGGGAATAAACATCCAGTTCATCACACTGTGGAGAGTCTTTCCATCCAGTTCATTGAATCTGGGTCTTGCTTCCAGTGGCACGTGCCTCACCATGTGAATGGCATTCTTTACTGAAGGTTACAGATGCAGAAACCCAGTTAAATGCTGCTTCAGGAATCAGCATTATATGTCGGCATTAGGCTTGGAATCCTCTTGGACATCTGCTGCTCTGCATAGGAAGTGCATTAAGTGATGGCTCTCTCCTTTCATGCCTGGTAATCTCACTCCAGGCTGATTCCCGCCAAGAGAGGTGGTGCAGGGGAGAGGCTGGATCAGGGATGTGGATTGGAAATCCTTTCAGCTACAAGGGTTTCTTTGATCACCTGTTTGCATTGGGGGTGGGGGAAGAGGTGTTAATTCAGTTTTCAAAATGCAAAGAGCTATTGATTTGGATTTAAAACCTTTCAAAAGGCTCCTTAATGAGCATTAGAGTAGCATCAATCCCTTAAGAGCTGAACGCATTTGCCTTGCAAAATAAAGCAGTGCAGTGTTTTTGTTTTGTTAGTGTTCACACTGTCTTTTCCTTGCAAAATACTTGGCCATCTGATACAAAAAGCCACACATGTTTTAACTGCTCTCCTTTAAATCACTAGGCTTTTTTTACTGCAGGGTTTTTTTATGCCCCTCACTTTGTTACAGCTCACTGGAGATGATACCTGTGTTAAACCTTTTGCCACTGGGGACTGAGTCCCAGATAAAGGTGCATCAGTGTAACTTTCCTCAGGCACTAAGTATGGATTCCTCAGTTTTGAAGAAAATCATTTAAGGAAAAGAATTCTGAAGTGTGTATGTTGGTGTAATATTAACCAGACTGTTCTTAACATCGATGATCACAGTGGGGTTTTTAAAGGCTGTTGCAAGTAACTTTTTGCCTTGGACAAACTGGTGTTGATTCTTCTCTTTTAATGCTTTCGGTGCAGTGAGATGACTTTTGTAAATGAAAAGGGATCTACTCCTGGGGCAAAAAAAAAATTCTGGAGAGAAGAAATGTTTTGAGACCTTCTGATGATATCTCACATTTCTTGCATGTGGCAATGTAAAAATCTTGATTCTGTCACACAAATCCATGTTTCCACCCTTCAGTTTATACAAAAAATCATACCTTTTTTTAAATATCTGGCAATAGTTTATGCAGCTTTTAGTTGAATAGCAGATGGAAATCCATGTTCTCAACTAAGCATCTTAGTCACCCTAAATATAGTGTTTCTGTCTGTTCTTGGCTGGATTAATGCCATAGAATAAAGATTTTTGGTTTGAAAGATGTGCAGAAATAAGGGCCAAAGCTATTTCATCTCAAACATAAAGTATAATTGAAAAAAATCTGTTTCTTACACCTCTGGTAATTACTGAATTCATGGTCGGCTAGTAAATATGTCTTGTCTTGTATGAAACTTGAGAAAGATGTTGAAATCTTGAGTATGGATTGGAAAAAACAACATAAGCATCCCTGGCAATATATTGTATTTCTCTTGTGTGTTGGAGAAGTTTTTAACTACAGAGTTGCTGATTAATGGAATTTTCTTTGAATAAAATAATAATGTTAAACCCCACAACAAAACCCTAGCAAAACTTTCCTCAAATGTGTTATTATTGCTAAATCTGTGTATTTCAAATGTTCTGTTTTCTCTTCCTTCCTTCCTTCCCCAGGGAAAGTGAGAAGCTTGAGTTCATCGTTGTGGACACTGACCCATTTGACAGCTTTGCATCTCAGTGACAATTCCTTATCCCGTATTCCTTCAGACATTGCCAAGCTTCACAATCTGGTATATCTGGACTTGTCCTCTAATAAAATTCGCAGTTTACCAGCAGAGCTCGGAAACATGGTGTCACTCAGGTATGTCAATCTGAACAGGAGTTAAAACTGGCCTTTAACTGTCTTTGTTGCAACAGTTTAAATTTCAGCATAAGTAAATTCCCCCTTCCTCCCTTCTTATCTGTCTCCTGAATACTTGCTGTGGTCTGTGCAGCCACAGCAGCGCTGGCTCTCCTGTGATCTCCTGTTCCAGTGTGTGACAGCATAGAATGAGCCTCAGAAGTGCATGGTTTGATGGCAATCACCCATTTTATGTTCTTCCAAGTCAGGTTTCCTCTCAGGCATCTTTTCCCAGACTCTTTTACAAATCTTTTTTGTGTTGTCTTTCTCAAACAGTAACTGATGCACCAAAAAATTTGCTTTTAACTCATAGAAAGGTAAGAGAGAGGTCAGATTGAACATTTATAATTGTGTTGACTACAGTTTTTTTATCTTTATTCATATTTAGTAATTATTCTTAGCTATAGTTCTTATTCTGTTTATTATATAACAATTACAACATGTCTAGTATCATCTCCCCACCTTTGCTATGATGTAACTGCATTCCTGTGGAAACTGGGGAGGAGGGAAAAAGGTTCTAAACACACACTTTGGGGTTTTTTTTCCCCTTCCATCTTGCAGTGCTGAGATGTGCAAAGTTAGCGTGGAGTGAGAACTCCTTTTGGAACTGAAACATGAGTAGTGCTGCCTATGGAGATTATACTTTAGGCTCCAGTATTTCACTTTGTAGAAACACTGTTATGTAAATATCTAAATTATTTATATGAGACTAAATATTTGCCGGCAACAGTCTTTGACCCAAAGGAAGAGCCTTATCTTGGGTTTATTAGACAGTTGCCAGTAATTGCCTTCATTGCTGTTGGTTTTGAAGACACTTATGAACAGCTTTCTTAAATCCAGAAAATCTAAAAGTAATGAGAATGTTATTGGAATTAAAGACCATGATAGGGGAATGGGCTGCCAGCACAGCTTTCATGAAACTGGAAGCAAAGCAAGTTTGTGCATAGAAATATCAGGCATTGCATTTTCTTCTCCTTTAGAAAAGTCTGCTCTGTTGGGGAGGATTAGACTAGCTGATTAAATTGGTACTAAGTGCTCAAATTCCAGAGCAGTTCAAGTCTCAACCCTGGAGGCTGAGCAAAGAGATCCTGCTTTGTGAAGCATAATTGGCAGCTCTGTTTTGCAGTGTGTTGTATAGTTGTTTTCAGCTGTGAAGTAGTCTGTTCTGAGTTCTAGTTCTTTGCATCACTATTTCAGTTAAAAGCAGTTATTAGTAACAGGTTTCTTCCCTTCTTTATCCACTCCTGGGGTATTGAGCTAGTAACCCTCAATTTACTGGAATACTCTCTAATTCATCTTTGTACTTCATTAACATCCTTTCAGTCTTCCTTTTACGACGTTTTTGTAAATGTGATACTCATGACATGGAGGTGGCTCAGCAGTGCAGAGTCAGCAGGAACCTCCCAAGTCATTACACCTTCTGCCCAGCACTCTTCCCGATTAACTCTGGCTGATCCTGTGAGGCTTCAGCTCTTCCAAGTTTCTTTTGAGTAAAGAAGGCTAAATCTTGTAGATGTGAGATGTGTAATTAAGGTCTAGGATCACACCAGTTTTCTGTCTATGACCCAAACGTGACACTTGAGCCCAGGTGTCTGGACGTGAAGAGCTGCGCGTTAATCCACAGCCCTCTCTCTGTCCACCGTAACTGCAGCTGCTCCGTGGCTGCTTTTCACTGTGGTGAGGGTGAAGGCAAGCCCATGAGCACATCCTATGTGGTAGTGCACTGCAGGTCTCAGCTGGGCCAGGGTTTTATGTTTCAGGCTGCCTCTTACTGCAGACACTTCCCATGGCTTCTGGGAAGCCGTTCAAACTAACGGTAATTCAGTGCTGGGCACTGCTGATATCCTGAGCCACAGAAATCATTTGTGCTCTCACCAGTGGGAACTGATAACAGCTCTTCCAGCTCCCACATCTGGAGCTCTGGGTTTGGTCTGTACAGCAGAACTCACCCAAGGCTCCTTTCATCTCCCTTTTTACTGCAAGGTAGTTGGAAAAAGAGGTGTCAGAGCAGTAGGATTTCTGATCTTTGCAGAAAGAGGAGAAAAAAAAAATAAACACTGTAACATGTTATCTTGGAAAGCTCAGCTGTAAAACAGATTCTCTTGATACGCTTGAAAGAGCTCGAGCGCACCCTTGGTACATTTGCAGATGACACAGAGTTGGGTGGAAGTGTCAATCTGCTGGAGGGTAGGAAGGCCCTGCAGGGGGATCGATGGACCCACGCCAGTTGTGTGAGGTTCAGTAAGGTGAAGTGCCAGATCCTGCACTTGGATCACAACCACCCCCTGCAGTGCTCCAGGCTGGAGGAACAGTGTCTGGAAAGCTGCCTGGGGTGGAAAGGACCTGGGAGTGCTGGTTGACAGTGGCTGAGCCAGGGTGTGCCCAGATGGCCACGAAGGCCAGTGGCATCGTGGCCGGTGTCAGCAGGAGCAGGGCAGTGATTGTCCCCTTGCACTTGACAGTGGTGAGGCCACACCTCGAATCCTGCATTCACAACAAGAAGGACACTGACAGCTTCAAATGCTGTTATGTAGAAATCTAAAAGAGTTAAGATAACTCTTGGCGTCCAGGTACCTTTTTTTTTCTTTCTTTTTTTTTCCTTTCTTTTTTTTTTCCTTTTTTTGTTGCCCAGAAATACTCTACAAGTCTCTAGGCACCAAGCTGTAAAAACTTCAAAGCAGCAACTTTTATATTGACTGTGATTCTGTGAAAGTCTTCACTACTTAGTGGGAATGTATTCGAGAAAGTGAAAAGCCCCTAAAAAGTCCATTTACTTTGCTCAGTTTGTTGGGATATTAGAATTCAGGACATGAATTCTGTTACTGTCTGCATATTGGTTCTGTCAGTTAAAAAGCACATATTTCGTCTTAACCCTGAAATTATGAAAAGAAAACTACCCAAACTAATGGAAAATTACTTTTGTGAATGACTATTGCACGGTAATGTCGTACTTCTAATCATACTGCCACGATCCTGGCTTTTTTTCTTATTTGTTTTCAAATAATTTCCCTTTATTTGGTCTTCAGTCATAGCTGAACTTTTTAATGGTCTGGTTTGTCTGAGCTGTTACTGCTTCATCACTTGCAGATAATGAAGTGTTTTATTACTGCTAATGTTTGCAAAACGTCTGACTGTTTAAGATAAAGCTCCTTTCCTCTGTACTTTAATAATATGTGTTTTGTCTGTGTGTGTGTCTTGAGTACAGCAGGATTTCCCCAACTGTTGCTGTTTAGTCTTTCAGTATTGTGGTTTGCAGTATATTGATTCTCTTCTGGTTCAATTCTTGTGCTGCTGCAGACAAATGTTGCTCTGTTTTCAGCCCTATATGATTCTTGCTCTGTCTACAGGGAACTACATTTAAATAACAACCTGTTACGAGTTTTACCTTTTGAGCTGGGGAAACTGTTCCAGTTACAGACTTTGGGTCTGAAAGGTATTACTGCTTTTTTCTTTTTTCCTTGGTCTCCCGTGCTTGTTTAGTGATGTCACTCTTGTAAATGGCTGTAGACTGCCAGTTCATAAAATGTTACTGATTAGCAATCCCAGATGCAGCTACTCACTCCACATTTATAAATACTGTTATTTAGGGATTATTTAGGAAAATAACAAGTTTGGCAAAGCAGTGCACACATAAAGAGGTTTGCTCCTCTTTTTGCAGAGTGAGCAGAAGCTTTCTGTTGCTTGCATAGGGTTTGAATGCAGTGGTGCTTTAACTAAGAAATAGTCTGTAGTTAAATGTAGGTACATCTCCAACCAGAAAGGGAACATGCTTTGTACAGCTGTAGGGCACTCTGCTGTTCATGCAAGCACCAGTTTAAATCTTTTGCCTTTTTTTTTTTTTTCTCCTCTGAACTATATGAATTCTAGCTATAAAATCGCTGACCTTGGGCAATTTCAGTCACAAAATCAGGAGCACAGAGGAATATAAAACCTCTAAACACTGTTGAGTCTCAAAATCTGTTTTTCTCCCCCTTAAACCTGGGTAATTGCAGTGTGTGTTGTCCATGACGACTCTTGCAATCTGCTTATGTTTGGCAGATGGCAGAGTCTCTGCTCAGATCTTCCTGGCAGATAAACTGATGGTGGATGTTTCACTCACGCCGAGCAAAGCGAGCAGAGGTGGCTCCTGAGTTTGGGCTCATCAGCTCGGCCTGTGTGTTGTACCACACCAGTTCTTCACTTGTCCTTGGCCCAGGGGCCACCCCTGGGGGGTCAGGCAGAAGGCAGGCTCAGGAGGGGATGTGGTAACTTAACTAGAGCTATCCACACGTCCCGTGTTTTGTGGGATTGAAGACCTGAGATCTGAAACCCCAAAATAGTTCATGGTACATGCGATATCACTTCTCCCAGAGGCCAGCTTTAAACACTGATATGTAAGTTTGTAATAGTTCTGGCTATTTTATTCAAGATTCCTGTGAATTGGTTTGCAGGAAACCCACTTACACAGGATATTCTGAACCTGTATCAGGAACCAGATGGGACACGAAGGCTACTGAACTATTTGCTTGATAATTTGGCAGGTACTGCAAAAAGAAGTAAGTGATCATTCTTAAAACATTTATTTCTGCTGCATAAAATAAATGTGATTATAATTTGTTGTGTCTCTATTTGAAAATGTTCCCATAGTTTCGACAGAACAGCCACCTCCAAGGTCTTGGATTATGTTGCAAGAACCAGACCGTACAAGACCAACAGGTACTGTAATACTGGAAGGGGTTTTCCTTTTTTCCTTCCTTTTTCCTTTTAATAAAAGCTGTTGATCTTTACTGGGAAAAAAAAAAAAAAAAAAAAAAAATGTTTAAATTAACCAGTCATCTCTGCAGTGCTGACCAGCCAGCTGAAGTCATTCTGTCCCAGTTGGGACACCTGTTCCAGATTTACCCATGGTTTACTCTGAAGTAATTTCTTTTTAATTAACGTCCTTCTCACAGGAATTGAAATTGTTGTCCACAATCAGTTAAATAGTAGAATTTTAACAGGCTTAATTTAACACTTGTTGAAGAATAAAAAAATAGAATATCAGCATAATTTTTAAAAAATCTAGATTTTTTTTTTAAAGTAATCAGTATATCATCTTTGACTGCACTTTCCTTGCTGTTGGGATTCAGGTAATGTTTAATTCTTTACTGATTTTTTTTGCTGCATAAACTGTCTAACATACAGCCCTTTCTATTTACCTGCACACCAAAAATCTTAGTGTATTTCTTAATTACTGCAGAGTCCTCTCTTTCAGGGCTACTGTACATTACTTTCCCCTGTTGATTTTATTAAGGCAATTGTTTTAAAAGTCATGCTGTAAATGCAGCTTGTCTTTTGCTCTCACCTGTTTATTTGTTTGTTTTCAAAATGCTGGGCTTTGACCCCAGTCAGCCCCAGATTGTTTCTGTATCTTCAAACAATGGTCTTGTTTTTTCCACATTTTTTGAGGAGCTCCAAGTAAGCTTCAAGTATCTCATTGTTATTCAGGTATCTCATTCCTTAAGTGCTTTTGAAAAGCAAACAAACGCCAGAAAAGCACTGAAACAACTCCCTAAATCCGTGCTGCTGGATTACATGTCAAGTTGCCCCAAACTGTCTCATTATTAGGTTACTCCTGTTTCAAATGAACACAGAGAGTAGATGTTTCATGTCTTCTGCCTGAACTGTAATTTTTTTGAGGTGGAAATAGCTTGGGGGGTGAATTTGCCTATACTTTTTCTTTGTGTGAAGGGATCCTTAGCCTGCTGTTACCGTTTGTGATGGTAATAATTAAGGTAGATTTTAAAGAATCCTAATTAAAGACTTGCAGACCTTTGTACAGCTGGCAAATAGAAGTGCTCAGATACACTTACCTTGGTTTTGGTTTTTCACACTGCAGCGCCACTTCGCAAAAAACATGTTTGTCTGCTGTTTACTGCATTAATCATATAAAGGGGGGATGGGGGTGTGTTTCTTTCCTAATTAAATGCTAGAAAACAGATGCCAGAAGTCCAGACTTGTAATTTTTCTCCCTAGAAGGCCTAACAATTCTTCTCGGTGCAGATAAACATGCTGTGTTTGGGTTGAAACAAATGAGGCATGAGTGGATGAACTTGCAGAGGACAAAAGGGAAGAACATTAATTGTATAGTTTTTTTAAATCTATCGGTGTGTAATTACTGATTGAAATCACTGTTCTGCAGCCTTGTTCTCTGTCATGTGTTACAACGTGCTCTGTGACAAATACGCCACCCGGCAGCTGTATGGCTATTGTCCATCCTGGGCCTTGAACTGGGAATACCGGAAAAAAGCCATTATGCAGGAGATCCTGAGCTGCAATGCTGACATCATAAGCCTGCAGGTAAAAGATACCCCCGTTATCTCTCTCCCGTTCCCGCGTGCCGGTTTCTTCACGTTTTGGGTGTATTTATAGTAAACATTCTGTTTTCAAAACCTGGCGGAAACAAAAGGAAAAAGAGGTGCTGTTTGGAACGTTATTTGTTGCTTGACATCAAAAGGATGCTTGCAGCCCCCGCAGTTGGAATGGGAACCAGCAGCCCCTGATCAAAGAAATGCACGTGGGGGTGTCTTTGTGCCTGCGTGTGTATGTGGGGCTCTAATTGACACATTTTCAAATAAGAGGCTTGAGATAATCATAACTCGGGGGGATTACAGAAATTCATTTATATGTTCTTAAAGTGAGGATATTGCTCTCGAATTTGCATTCTCTGATGCACTTAATTCCTAGATTTCTTTCTTCCCTTAAATCTCATTTGAAAGTGATTTACACTTCTGAAGAGTCTAAATAATATCAAGTCTTCTGTGTTTTTGCTAACTGAACGTTCATGCTGTTCTGCCTTGTAACTTCACAGGAGGTTGAAACGGAGCAGTACTACAGCTTTTTCCTGGTAGAATTGAAAGAACGTGGCTATAATGGATTCTTCAGCCCAAAATCTAGAGCCAGGACAATGTCAGAACAGGAAAGAAAACATGTTGATGGTTGTGCAATATTTTTCAAAACAGAAAAGTAAGTGATGCCTTTTGCAAAGCCTTCTGTTGTCTCTTGCTGTCTTCCACGTAATTTCTCAGGTCAGTCTGTAGCTCAGACAGTTTGGCATTAATTGCCCCTTTGTAGCCATGCAGGGTTTCTTACAGAGCGTTCCTACCCCTGGAAGGCGTGGTCTGTGTGAGAGTAATCATTCTGTCTAGAATTAGCAGTTAAAACATTTTACCCTGAAGTTTTCTTTAAGTTGAAATTTCGTTTTGTTTGAGCGGCGCTGGTTGGGAGTTCACTAAATTGTACTTTAATTGTTGAGTGTCTGTGTCCCAACCATTAGGTGGGAATAATAAAAAAAGAAGAAATTAATGAAAAACGGAGCAAATTTTCTTGGGTTTTTTTTTTTTGAGTAAAGGAATTTATAGTTCCTGAAATTGCTGAAATAAGACCTCAGATGACATTGACTTTTTGATATATTAGGCTTCTGGTAAATTGAAAGACAAAGCACTTGGTATCACTCCACGTTTCCGTAGAAAAAAAAAATAATCATTTAAGAGCTGTAGAACTTACTGGTTGTATCATGTTGCACTTGCACAACTGCTTGGATATGAGGGTAATAATGTCCTTTCCATTTCTGTGTGTCCACAATTAAGTCTAGGTGCCAGTTTTGATATCAAGTGGCTTATTAAAATTATTTAGTCCCTCTCTATTAAACCTGTATCTTTGACCTCAAAACTGATGCAGAATTTAAAACAAGCTTGACTTTTTTTATAGTGTCTTTCTCAATAAAATTTTTAAACTGAAACTAAAATAGTATAAAATACATGAAAATTGCTAGGAAAACTATATCCCTTGATTTCAGCTTAGGATTCTATGAACTGATGTGACTGGCTGAGGTTTTTCACATCATAAACGTGTTTGAGATTTAATTAAAAGGTGAATTATCTATAACATTTCCTATTGTATCTGGCTGCTGAAAAAAAAGCACACATGATGTTTTTTCTTTCAGATTTACTTTGGTTCAAAAACATACTGTTGAGTTCAATCAACTGGCAATGGCAAACTCAGAAGGGTCAGAAGCTATGCTGAACAGAGTTATGACAAAAGACAACATTGGAGTTGCTGTGCTGCTAGAACTGCGAAAAGAGTTGATAGAAATGTCATGTAAGTCCCATTTCGCTTATTTTTTTTTTAAATAGATTCTATTTTGTAAATGAAAAAGCTGACTTTTGTCACAGTAAACAAGAGAAGCTGGGTTCTGCAGGTGATTATGGCTTTTGCACATTGTATGTTCAGACAAATTTATTTCCAAAGCTGATTTGGGGGAAAGTCACATTGTTTAAAATATGAAGATTCCCCCCCCCACACACACACACTTGTATTTTTTAAGGAAAAAAAAGCTATAAAGACTTGAGTTTGAGTGATTTTGGTGGTGTTTTTTTTTGAAGTTGTATACAGGTATCAGAGAAATCAGATGGTGTTAGTTGTGTGTATCTGCATCGTTTTAGCTTGTTGTTTTCTTTACTGTCATACAACCTGTTTGTTCTGCCCTGTCATTCTTAATTTAGGAAATGTAAATTGGCTTTATAAGTATCGCAGTGGGAACCTACTGAACCACCTGCGTTATATTTATCCAAATGATATTTTATTATTCAGATTCTAACAAACAAGCCTTTTAAGAAACACTTCTAGCAGGAGAGGTAACTTAGAATGTGGATGACTTATTAGGCAATGAGCTCTGAATTCTAAGATATGAGCAGGGCCTGTTTGCTATCAAAGCCTGAGGAAAACTTGTAATTTTTTAGAACAACACTATTTGCCTGTAATTAGGATTATCTGTTATTTATGTTAATTCACAGTATTCTTGGATACATAAGCATTACATGTAACAAGATGGTTGATCCATTATTGGTCTTGAATGTGCAATATCATTCCTAATGCTTTATATCAACTAAAACACTTGGTAGATGTAAGAGGTGTTGTCTGACCCATTGATTTAAATGGTATTGACCCTCTTGAAGTCATACTGGTATTTTATTTTTTGGTCCCCTCAAACATTTTGTTTAAAATTCAGTAATAGTGTTTTCTGTTGCCAACTGTGTAAAATAATAAATAAAAAAATAACTGATTTTAAATTTTAGCTGGAAAGCCACATCTTGGGATGGAAAAGCAGCTAGTTCTTGTAGCTAATGCACATATGCATTGGGACCCAGATTATTCTGATGTGAAGCTGGTTCAGACTATGATGTTCCTGTCCGAGGTAAAGAACATTATTGATAAAGCTTCTCGTAGTCTCAAACCTGGTGTTTCGGGAGAGCTTGGAACCATTCCACTTGTACTGTGTGCAGATCTCAATTCTCTACCAGACTCTGGTAAGAGTTCTATTTCTTATTCTTTAGACTGTTTTCAAGTGTGTAACAATTTAAGTTCTTGCTTTTTAAAAGGAGTTTTCAACTTAGAGAATGCATTGTTTGATAATATAAGCTCTAAAGGTACTGTGAGAATAGAAGGAAGTGAGGGAAGGTAAAACTTTAATTTGTGAGTGACCTTTTTTTATGCAGTAGTATAGCTATGTCTGGTCTTTTGGAAGCATTTCCACCATTATCTTACAATACAGGAATGGAAAGGAAAAAAATATCTTCCAGAAATAACTGGAAACACGAGTGTGTTGCTGATAATTGGGTTTTCTTAATTGTAAGTGTGAGAAGATAATTTCTTATCTTTAAAGTTGCCACCATACAATCATTTTCGGTAGCTCCAATGTTTTAGAGTTTCTAAAATTCAGTGTATCCCCTTCAGACAGGGACTCTTCAAACCTCTTTATTAACAGGGAACTTTATTTTTTTACTTGGTGGCAACTTCATAAAATGTGAGAAAAGAACTAATTCAGTGATTGCCATCTTGGCTTTCTCAGGTACCAAGCTGGAGTGCTGAACTCAAGAGCCATCCTTCCTTCTTAGTGATGGTTGTTCAACGTAATAATCTCCATTCTTGGTCCCCTTTCCTTCTGGCTTCATCTTGGCAACTCTTGACATCTCTTAGGGTTGAGAGGAGCAGTTACTGCTCAGCAGGACTGGAAGTTTGATTCTTTTTGATTCCAGGAAGCCCAATATCCCTCGTGGTGATTGCAATGGGCAGTTCACGTGTCTGATTGTCTTCAGAACAATGAACCGCTTCTTTTACCTGCCACAGTATTAACACAGCTGTTCTGACACTGAGGCACAGTCACAGTTTTCCATGACACAAATCTTGTCCATTTGGCTTTGCAGCCTCTTTAAAGTTAACTTTATTTGAAGTAGAGTTTCAGAAGTTGACTCTGTTGCAACACTTTAGCTGAAGAACATTGAAGGGCAGGACCTGAGCATAGAAGCAAAGAGAGAAGGAAGCTGACTGCCTGGCACTGATAGAACTTTACTTCTGAATTTTTCATCTTCCCTTTCCCAACCTATTCCTTATTAACCCTCTCATTTTTAATAATCTAAGCACGTCTCTTTATTCTAGGTGCCATTTACTCATGATATACATTGTCCTGTAATATTTTAAAAGAATTACTGTTAACTGTATTGTGTATGTGTTAAGGTTTTGCTTGCATAAAGCATAAAGTTGCATGTATGACTTCAAGAACCTGAACACACTTATTTACTGAGTGAATGTTAATGCCTTCTTGTGTGCACGTGTGTCTCTTAATAGGTGTCGTTGAGTACTTGAGCACTGGCGGGGTGGAAACAAACCACAAAGATTTTAAGGAACTGAGATACAATGAAAGTCTTACTAACTTCAGCTGTAATGGAAAAAATGGGACAACAAATGGAAGAATTACACATGGTTTCAAGTTGAAGAGTGCCTATGAGAATGGTCTAATGCCTTATACAAATTACACATTTGACTTCAAGGTAAGGACTTGGCTGGTATTTTGGAAAAGTTTCCTCCAGTTTGAAGTGTAACTAATGTGATTTGCTGTATGAAGTTTAACAAATAAGTTAATCTGTTTGTGCAGCTAACTAGATTCACCAAGTTTATATTTAAAACATAGCAAACTAGAAGGCCCAACACTTTGGTCTCCGGGAAACCAGATTTTCCCTTTTTCTTGTTAGCAACTTGCAGTAGGTTTGCAAGAATTGGAGTTCTGTTATCCTTCCCTGTAAACAGTATTTTAATATTCCAATCTAAGTGACACAATACAACAGGGGCACTTAAGATGTCAACTGCAAGGAAATAATCCATGTTGCACCTGGAAAACTCTCAGTTCTCTGTTGCCCTGTGAAAACAAGGATGGTTTTTTTCCTCCTCAAAACCAGAGCCAAATGTGATTTGAAGGTCTGTAGGAGATTGGAAATCAGAACCCACAGAAGCATAGCAGGAGTGACACAGGGTGGGCTTTGCTTTTGTTCTCCTAACCTATATTGAGCAACTGATGGGATAAAGGAAGAAGAAATCTCCTAAACTGATGATGTGCTGTAGAGAAGGAATGGGGTATTTCACTTACCAGTAACACTGAGCTCACCTGTTGTTTGGGAAAATAAACTTGAGTCGTGAATAAATACTAACAATGATCTCTTTTTTTTCCCTCTTGTTTTAGGGTATTATTGATTACATCTTCTACTCTAAACCTCAGCTAAACATACTTGGCATTCTTGGACCTTTGGATCATCATTGGTTAATAGAGAACAATATAAGTGGTTGTCCACATCCACTCATCCCTTCTGACCACTTCTCACTTTTTGCACAACTGGAGCTTTTGCTGCCTTTCCTGCCTCCTGTAAATGGAATCCATCTCCCTGGCAGGAGGTAGTCAAATACATTTTAGAGGGCAACCTCAATCTAACTTGTACAATTGTAAAATCTGAATATAGAGGAGTGAGGTATGGCCAACAGGGATTTTTTTTTTTTTTCTTAATAATCTTAATCTTAAATCTAATTATTTGCTAAAGACATAGTAAAAGCCAGGTGCTATCAACAGACACAATTCTGAGCCCAATATACTTTGTATACTGTTCGACAGCGATCGGTGCATTTGCACCTTTCTTTAATACGTTACAATTAACCTTCCTGTTTCTTTTATCCAACGTGACATTTTCATGCCTTGAAATAGGGAATTGTTATACAGTGTATTCTCTTTGCACAGTTATCTGTAGCACTACTTTTTTGAGGCCAGTAGGAACATCCACAGAACATTCTCCGTACTTCACTCCCTCCTTTTTCAGACTTGTTTGTAAAATATAGAATTTGAATTTAGCCTTTATTGATTGTATATGAACAACAGAAAACCTGATTTATGAGATTTTGTACTTTAAAAAAAAAAAAAAAAGAAAATTCAGATTTGGAAAATGATTGTATTGTAAACTAAGGCTAAATTTTTATCTGTTTTCATGTGTTATAAAGGCCAGCTTGTAAAAGAGGTTGTCACAGGTTTTCTCTGCTAGTGATTTGCACTGTTAGGGTTTTGTTAGCCCTTTTATACTACTTTTTATGTTCAATTGAGAACGTTGCTTTCAAAATCCAAACCTATAAAATCTTAATATCGTACAAAGATAACTAAATACATTCTGTCTATTTCTGATTTTTTTTTTTTTAAAAAAAGAGAGAAAATCATGGAGTTCTTGCAGAACAGATAAGCTAAGCAGTGACTATAAGTAGACCTGTATGGATTGAAAGTTATTGCTGATGTGTATACACTCAGATATTCTTCTCATCTCTAACTTTTGAAGTAAAATCTAGGGATACTTGTGTACAGCTTCTTCATTTCTGTTTTAAATATTTGTCCTATCTCCACTGTGCCTGCTTAAATTTGTTCTCAACTAGCACTGCCTGTGCATGCAGAGAGATCCTGTGCATCCTCTTTTATTTTTTTAAATAATGTTAACACTTGTGAAAATTTTATGAAGATACTTTTGTATAAGCTGTGGCATCTCTTTTTTTCCTTTGTGAAGCATTGAATATCACACTTTGGAACATGTTCAGGTTATGGGTACACAATTTCTAGCTTCTAATGCCCATGCACTGCTTCTTTCAGTGTCATTGCACAGTGCCGTTTTCCCCACTAAGAATTACTATCATGTGGATTCTCTTTCGTTTCAGTGTGTTCCTCAGTTTCAGAAAGTATAATTCCTTGAAGATACAAACCTAGCCCTACGTTTTCTATTAATGAAGCAGTGTAAAATAAATGCGTTTTTCAATGCAGGTCCCAAAGACAATTCTTCAGATCATTTTTTTTAAAGTGACCAAGTCCTTATTTTAATAAGTGTCAAGCAAGACTGAAGTTCTGGTGTACCCTCAGTGCCATTTGTGTCACGAAGCCAAGTATGTAACAGCTTACAAATTTAACTCGTCTATTTCTATGCTAAAAGGGAGAATTTATCAGTCTCCTTAAACTAATACAACTTGAATAATCAATGTAAAAAAAAAAAAATAAATGAGATAGAGAGCTTGGTCTTAAACAGCTTTTGTTTCAGCTGCGGGCAGGGAAGCAAAAGGACACTGAGCATTAAGAGAAAACTTTCTAAATATTGTGAATTTTTTTATATATAAGAGAGTGAATTGGTAATAATGATTCAAAATTTTATTGAAAAGTAGTCAGCACACAAGTGTGCTCCAACCGTTCTGTTTTAAGCTCAAAGTAAAAATTGCGAACAGTTCGGATGTGTGTAAAATGTACATTTTAAAATTTCAGTAGGAGAAATCTTGATCTTGAATCCTTGTCTGGGACCTGATCTCTTGGGGTTATTTTGTTTTGGTTTTAGTTGTAAAAAAAAAACAAACACCAAACATGTCCAGTTTATAATCAGTACATTGAAATGCTGGTAGTATTGCTGTAGTAGACTTAATGCGTAGTGTTATTTTTTTTTTTCTGTTTGTTTTTTGGGGTTTTTTTGTAAAGTGTGAATAAAAGGTGTTATACTCATGTTTCCTTAATGATGTCTTGGTAATGTACATCATGACAATTTCCAGTAATGATGAGCCAATTTAGCTTGTCAGACTAAGCAAACTATTTTTCTTTTCTTTATTATCTGGATTGTGTAAGGAGTCCAGAAAGCTTTACAGAAGGGGAAGGGAAGCACTTACTCATTTTGTATTTTTAGAGGGGGATAATTTACTTTTATTAGATGCTGGAGCTTGAGTGCACTTGTTAGATTCTAAAGGTTTGAGCTTTATCCAGTATGTGTTCTCCTCTATTGCTTAGTCTTAAAAAAAAGAATATTTGGATTTATGACAGCATGTGAAAATACAGCCCCTTGTGCTTTTGGAGACACAACTGTTCTTGCTTAGTCACCTTATGGTCTAAGGGTCCATTTCAATAACTGTTTCCTCCAGCTTTTTTATACTGTCCATCAGGTCCTGATTGAAAACCCACTGAATCCGTTGAAGACACTCCTTTGACTTCACTGGGTTTTAACTGGACTCTGCAGCTGTGACTCGGGGGTTGAAGGAAGGAAGGAAGGAAGGAAGGAAGGAGAAATGTTTTGAATATAGGGAGAGACCAGATGGCACCAAAACAGAGCTGAGATTAACTTTGTCAAACAATCTTTCAAAGAAAACATATTCTTTGTGTCAAACAAATCTAACTCAAAAGTCTCAATTTCCAGCTATAACATAGAATAAGGCAATAAACCGTGTCTTCACAAAATCAAAATGTTTGCTTCATAGTTTTTAACCAGCAATGGTTATTTGCAATATTTTTATTCAAGGTGGTTTTGGGTGTTGCCATAATGTACCTTCAGTGTTCTTGTTGTAAAAGCACATATAGCAAAAGTCACAGAACATCCTTGGGGTTGAAAGGATTTATTTAGGTTAGACCAGGCTTTTTTCCACTTAAAGTACACTCTGCCATATCTTGTCTAGTTTTATTTACATTTACCAAGAATTCTGGGTGTCAAAGTGTAAATTGAAATATACCTTTAACTAAAAGAATTGATTAGAGTACAAGACTAATACCACAAGTTACTGCTTTTATCATAACACAGATAGGGGGGAAAGAAGCATATAAGTTGGTGCAAGTTGTAATTATTTTGTCCTTTTAGCAGCTTTAAATTAAAAAAAAAAAAGTAAAATTGGCCAGAATTTGACAGAACTGATTTTGAGAACATTGTGTGCATCTTTGATGTAACTGTAGCAGATCTCTCAAGGTGGGTGGTTTTTGGTTTTTTTTTTTAGAGAAGGCTTAGAAAATACTTTATGCTTTGCTTTTTCAGCCACACAGAACCTGTATGAAAGACAAAATAATTGCAACACCATTAAGGAGGAGGGGGGGGAGAAAACTAATTACACTGTAAAACTTTAAAAAGTTCAGTTAACCGCTTCAGTAGCAAGCCTTTCTCATTCAGCCGGACACAGTATTTTTTAGTATGTTAACTGCTATTCTTTTCCTTTGGTTGCATAAATTTGTAACACTTAAGTGTCTTGGTATGTTTAAGTAGTGTCTAAAATAGAATATCTTAGTCTTTATTCACAGTACTTCTGTATAATGTGTAATGCACTGGACTAACTCTTGTTTACCATTCATGTAACAAAAAACCAGCACATTATCTGCACTAAGCTCAAAGAATGTTGCATTTGTCTATAGGCAGCTCTTCAATAAGATAAATGGGAAACTGAATATGGTCTGATGGTAAACAAGGGCTTTTACTGTTCTCTTCAGTGGAACTTTCTTCTTGGTCAAATTTTAACTAGTTAGTATTATATTTATATACAGGGTCTTCTTTTTCTTTACCAATGTATTTTCCTACTCATAGCTGACCAATAAATCCAATATCTGTTTCAAACCTTCTTGAAGTCTAATTCATATTTTGATTCCTAAAGCTTTTCCTGAAGAGTTGCACATACAGCCGAAGTGAGTGAAGTGTGAGAAGGTATAATGGAAGCACGTAAGGAACTTGAGAACCCTAGAAATATTTTCCTGTACTTTCTGTTACTTTCTAGATCTGCAGACCAGAAATCTGTTCAGATCAGTTGGGTTTGTCTGGGTCGTGTAAGACCCCCCCACTCCTTCCTTCCTCTTCCACTCCAGAAAGCACAAAGGAGCCTTGGGGTCTGACAGCGGGAAGGGATTCAAATACTCCAGTTATTTACCACAGAAGGGGAATAAATTGAATATTTCTTCCATATTCTGTTTCAGGAAGGAGATTCCACTAACTCTTGCCTTTAGTTTATTTCAATCCTGCATTCTTTGGCAGAGGGTGCCTCTGTATCAGTGTCTGTGTAAGAGTGCAGACTCTTGTGTTTGATGTGATGTTCCCATCCCTGGCACAGCAAACAACAAACACCTGAGCTCACCAGACCCCTCCCTGGTCCTACAGTGTTCAGGATGTTGGGGCTGCTTTGCTATAGAAAATAAACGATCTAGTTCAGCCTTCCCATGAATACCACAGACCCTAGAGTTCTCAGCTTGTTTGTAAGTTTAAGATGCGCTGTCCTGAAGCAGCTGTAAATCCCCAGCTGTGTGATGAGTGCATTGCAGACTCAGCAATGCTTTCTTTCTCTTTTGGTTTTGTCTCGTGGGTGAGATGTTAATTCCCATCACATTTGCAGGGTTGCCACTAGATGGTGTGGGAAACACAGGCTTCATCAGCACACAGCACGGACGGCTTCGAGTGCCATCCACAAAGCGTGGCTTGTGGAATCTTTCTTAGGAGTATTTGTGGGAATTCAGGCCCAGGAATGAATCTTTTTCCAGTGGCAACAGTTGGTTTGGTAACATCCACGCCAAATAAGTATGGGAGTTATAAATCCAGCTGTCATGATGGGAATGGAAAACACCTACTTGCTCCTCAGTGATTCTGTAGGGCCTTTGCTTGCTGCATTTAATCTACTTAATGTTACGTTTTTAGATGAGTACAGTCGTTACATGGTTCCAAACTGGAGTTTAAAAGGTCTGAAATACTCACGTGCCAGGTTAGCAGATCTTGGGAGAGCTGTTTGTAGGGAAGCTGGGCCAGAATTAATGGAGAGGCTGGTGAGTTGTCAGAGAACAGCACAGAGAACAGCATCTCACTCAAAGGTAAAGGTCTGAGTTGAGGTTGTGTCCTGTGATCCTCAGCCAGGTAGGAGAATTATTGTGTTTCCTCAGCTTGCAGTAAAATAACTACAGCTATTTTAATACCATTGAATACAAAGTTGCTCTGGACATACTCCTGGTTACTGGTCCCTCATCCTCCATGTCTGCTGGCTCTTCAGTGACAGAAGAAAAGTTGGATTTGTGCCTTCTAGGGTGGGAATTGCCAAAATCAGTGCAGTTGACTGTGTGGTTTGTCTTTTCTACTGACATTGGTCAAACAATGGAGCCTTAAAATGTGGAACTGAGCCTAAAGAGAGAGAGGAAAGGAGGAGAAACTGAGAAAAAGGTAAGTGGAAAGGACAAGAATAAGCAAGGTACATGGACCTTTTGGGAGAAGGAATACATCATTAAAGGTGAGTGTTCTGGTTATTTTCTTGCTTTTCATCCTCCCCTCTAACCCAAAGGCACTAGTTTGCTCTCTAAACGTTCCCTTACTCTCTTTGTATGGAAAGCAACACAGCTAATTAAGCTATAGGGACCTTTGGTGCATTTGAATATTTTCTTATTCCAAAATAATATTATAATGTTCTCACAGATTATCAGTTTTTAGTAGATAAAATGATATGTTGTGGTTAAATCTTTCTGGGATGTCAGTGGACAGTATGGATTCCTTTAAAAAATACTAGATGCTGTTGTAAAAAGATATACATTACGGAAAATCAAAACATATATACCCCTCTCCTGGGTTTTAATGACCACAAGGATTTAAGCTTCATCTAATTGCACCTTTTTTAATTAGTTGATGTTATTTTTTCTAGGGTTTTTTTCTGGCTTGCTTCTAGGGTTTTTTTTTTCTAGTTAAAAGCACAGGTTGTTCCCTTTGGGTGCCAACAGTGACTTAGCAGTAGTTTCTCCACTCTGGCTAATGATATTGATGGCTCTTTGGAGGCTGAATTCATTGATTTCCCTCCTTCCTTTTCAAAAAAAAATAGCATTTAGGTTAACAGCTCGCTGCTAAAGAGGGCAGAGGCCTTGTTGTATCTGAAGACCTGACCCCAAGCCATGTGCTGGTTTTGCTGACCTGGTAGCAAGACACGACCAAGACACAGGCATGGGAAAGCCTAGAGATGCACGAGGATTTCTTTTAACCATCTCCTGCCCTCCCACCTCTCCCAGATAAAGCAGTGGGAGAGAGGAGTGTTGGGAATTGCGTGTGAGTGGCTCTCCTGAGCAGGGTGGGGCGGAGGAAGGTTGTAGCCAGGTCGGGTTCAGTCTCTTCTCCCGGGTAACAAGTGACAGGATGAGAGGAAACGGCCTCAAGGGGAGGTTTGCATTGGATTTTAGGGAAAATTTCTACATGGAAAGGGGTTGTCAAGCATAGGAACAGGCTGGCCAGGGAAGCAGTGGAGTCACCATCCCTGGAGGGATTTAAAAGACATGTAGATGTAGCACTTGGGAATATGGTGGGCTTGGCAGTGCTGGGTTAATGGCTGGACAGTTTTCCAGTGAATGAAAGCAATTATATGCAGTAAAAACTCTACACCAATTGCCCAGTGAGAGAAGACCGAGTCCAACATGTTTCAAACTGCTGTTTGATTTTGGTGAATTTATGTATTTTCATTCCCTTTGCAGTGTTTTAAGGCAATGTGGGAGAGATCTGAAGGTTTATCCTGCCTTAGCTGCCCTCTGAGGGGCTGTACCCCTGTGTTAGCAGGGGCTACTCCTGCAAATGCTTGCATGTAGTAAACTAGAAATATTTCTGGTGTAAGTTTAGCTAACAGACTACAGAAAGGGCTGGGATTACTCTGTGAAACATTTTCTTCCTTAGGTGGAATCGTTCATCCAGGGACCAGTGAGGAAAGGAGGGAGATAAACAAAAGGTAGAAATTTGGGTCTTGGCTCAAGACAGCCAACAGGAAATTTTCCATTGACTTCACTGGGAAAACATAATCAGGAGTACAAAATATGAAAATACCACGTGTGCATGTGGAACAGATTGTCTTCCCTGAGACCTGCCCTAACCCACTGAGGCACTGCAGGCAGGAGGGCGAGTGTCTGACCTTCAGCACCCAACATGGGCATTCACATTCCACTGAACTGAGTTTGCATTTTTGCGGGGTCCAGCCCCGAGTCTTTGGCATGGCTGTACAATTTAATTAAGCTTTCACATTTGATGGTGTGAAAACTGTGGTTTCAACCAGTTACATCATCCTCAGCAGTCAGCAAAGTCTTTGCATTCATCCATGTATTAATCATGTCCTGTAGGAACTCGTGAAATGAATAAAGAGGAAGAACCACCTGGCACTGCAACACAGTTTTACCTCTTCTGCCTCTCTGTGGTTCTTTGCAGGTTCTATGACAATCCTTTTCTATATAATTATTTTTTCTTACAGGTTTGGCTAATCTTACAAATCTTTAAGTGAGAATTCTTCCCATTCTACAGAAAGCAGAAATAAAAAGCCAGCAAGTTGCTGAAGGTCCTGGGTGTCTGGATGGCACAGCAGGTCACACCTGCAGCCCCCAGCTCAGACTGCAGGGTTGGTTCTGCCCCCTCATGTCCTGCCGGTGAGAATCCATCACATCCCATGAGCTGAGGGAGCTTAGCAAGGGGCCAACTGCTCTGAATTCAGGTAGATCAAATGGTCTGAGGAGGGTACAGAGCCATGACCATGCCCTGCCCGGAGTTCCTCTCCACAGCAGGCTGAGCAATGTGCCTTCAGGTCTGTCAGGTGGGTTGATTCCCCCCTGTTCCCAGTAAAAAGGAATACATGCAGTGCTGTGCTTTGTGTTCACAGCGATTTTAAAAATACTGCGCTGCTGGCCTGGAACACTCTGTACAAGGTTCTGAGGGCAGTGACTTCTAAACTGTATCTGCAAAGGCCCTGATTCATAAAGATACCTAAGTCTG